CAGTGGCTCCTAATCTGTGTTTCTTCATTTAACAGGTATCAGAGAAACCTTCTCTTTCACCGCTTCTGGTCCGTGGACGACAAGCAGCTTCAGACAGAATTCAGCGCCCTGCGCTCAATCGTCGTGGCAAACTACGAGGAGACCGTGAAAATGCCCATCAATGAGCCTGCGATGGGGAAGAGAAAGTCTCAAATCCAGGCATGTTGCTTACAGTTTATCTACTTTAATTAAACATCTGGGTTACCAGATTAAAACCAGAGTTGAAGTATTCAAATGAACAAACATTAACCATGTGGTATGTGGACTAATAAGAACATTATTGACTTACAGGAATATGTGGAGTACTATGGAGGTCCAGGAGTGCAGCATATCGCCATGAACACTTCAGATATCATTACTACAGTATGGCAACTAAAACACCCTGCTTACCTCTGCAACAGGCTGAGTTATAACAGCAGCTTAACTGTAATGTTAATTACCTTGTTTGCAGATCCGTAACCTGAAGGAGCGCGGGATGGAGTTCATGTCTGTGCCTGAGACCTACTACGACCAGCTGAGAGAGAAGCTGAAACACTCAAAGGTCAAAATCTCAGAGGACTTTGATGTCCTGCAGGTCAGAGCTAAAACCCTAAATTAACAAAGCTGAAAGAGTGATGATTTGTGATCCTTACGTAGCCAAACACAGTGGCCTTTTTTAAATCGTAGAACATGTTGACTCAGTTCACTCTAATCATATTTTTTTAAAGACTAAAGGTGCATAAAACACATTTTGTCTTCATAATTAACCAAAAAAATCCCTTCAAATTGACAAAATATTGTTTTATGTCCTCACCGTTACCCAGGAACTAAAGATCTTGGTGGACTACGATGACAATGGCTACCTACTTCAAATCTTCACTAAGCCGGTCCAGGATCGCCCCACTGTGTTCTTGGAAGTCATTCAGAGACACAATCACCAGGTGAGGGCACCACTGGCTAAACAAGCAGTGGAAATGTACTCTACAGTATATTTAACATGTTATTAAACAAAAAAAACATGTTCTCATCCACAGGGCTTTGGTGCAGGAAACTTCAAGTCTCTTTTTGAGGCTATTGAAGCAGACCAGCACGCTAGAGGCAATCTGACTGTTCTGACAACAAATGGAGATTTAAACAAGATGTGAACTGGGTGATGCATTAATTTAGGGGTTCAGAAAACATGCTATATCCATCAACTTAGTATAAAACGAATGCTTTAATAAACATCCTTATGCCTGAAAATGTCTCATCTTCAGAGAAATACACAAAGCACGTATACTTATGGTTTTCCTTATTTTTTTATGTGTTGCATGTTTGTTTTTTGGTTTTGTTTTTTTACATTTAATTGTTCATTTTATGTCTTTATCATTTCTCCTGATGCTTGCAAAAATGACATGAGTACAACATCCACTTTAAATCACAATGGTGTGCTTCCAGTTTGTATAAAACATCAACAGGAAAACCATTTTTATTAACACAAGCTTGACTCAAGCAAAACGTTATCCGAGCTCTCATAAATGAAAACATTTAACTATACACTTTGTTAACTTTTAGACGGCGAGGTCAACAGAAGTTGGAGATTTAGCATGAAGTCTAGAATGTGATTTTCCCCTCCTGTTTAAAAGAGACCACTCTTGGTTTTTGTTAGTTTTTCTCATAAACTGTGATAACTCTCTGTGAGTCCCAAGTGTTTGTTCCGGTCCTGATTTATATATTGTTTATGGCAGCTTAGTATTAAACCATTATTCACTGAGTACCACATGTCTGCAGTTCTTTCATGAGCTCTTCTACGGCTTCCAAAATGCTGAATAGTTGCTGAACAGTATTAAAAATTGCTTTTTGATACCTCTGGTTTAGGTTGCCACTTTTTCTCTTTACCTAATCGGGCCACTTAACAGGTGATTAGTTCAAGGAGCCTCTGCAGCCGTCTGCCCCACACAAACAAGGGATCTTTGTTTCCTCAATAGGAAACTTGTAGTCATATGTAATCTCTTCATTGATGTTTATAGGCTGGCGGGAGTATATGACTATCTTCTTCTGAGACTCCACTGTGATGATCTTTGCGTAGCAGTTAGGCTGTAAGACAAAAATAAATAAATAAACCCCACAAACCTTTTAATGGGAATACTTTATGTGGAATCACTTTCATCTCTAACCACAGCACCGCTGGTTTTTACTCACATTGCAGCTGTGGTTGATAAACCTGGCTAAGTTCCCACATTTGGTAGCATCAATGATGGTGTCCTGATCCACCCGAAACAAATAGCTGCTTCCAATGCCCTCCTCCTCGTATCTCTGCTCCCTCATGTCAGCAATGACCTGAGGAGAAAGAAAACAGATGTGGCTTTCCATCTATGTGAGGGTTGTTTATCACAGTTACTCTACACGCATGGATGGAAACCACCCAGCACAACCCGAGGCCCCCAGTGGACCGGTGGACTAATTTAGAGAAACAATCAGGGGAAAAGGGGTTTGTTTAAAAGTGCATGTTAGTTTGCATCAGAATTACCTGTCGGATGATTTGGCCCACATACTCAATCACCATCTCGTCTGCAGCAATAGGCTCCATGGCAAACAGGCCCCACTCGTGGATGTAACTCCTGCTGAAACGAATCCTCTTCCTTCGGAACTGACAGACGATATAGCACGGGTTTGGACTGTCGCTCAAATGAGACAGTGCTGTGCAAATATCTCGAGTCACCCTCATTACTCTATATTTTGCTTTGTTAATTTGAAAGCTAATGAATAGTAAAGTCAATTTTTTATTTGGATACTGGCTGGTTTTTCAGTCACTTTCAGTACAATCCTTGTGCTTGACCATTTTCAGAGGATTTTTTTTATTTGTTTGGTTTAAATTGTATTTTAGGCACTTTGTTGCCATCGGTTCTACAGCCATCAGTAGAGTGCAAAAGAAGAAGCTGCACCTTATTTAAAGTTAAACTATTTAAAACTGATGAAAGAAGAAACAGGAAAAAAATCCAACAAGAACCTGACACGGGACCTAAAAGATTCAGTTGATCCTGTTTTTCAGTGTGCTCATCTTTCCATATATGTTTGCATATGTTTCAATAAATCTCTGCACCTATTTCCCATATTCCCAGCAAAATATAAAGAAAGGAGAAGTGGCTCAAGACTTAACAAAGTTAAAAAACATACAATAAGTGTGAAATTATTTCTTTCTTTTTTTAGAGTGCAGAACTAATGTTCTGATTTCTTGTCTGCCCAAATAAAAACCTAACGGTAAACTCAGTTTTAGACTCCACTGTAGACTTCTTTCAAACTGGGCTTTTACAGTAGTCTGCTGATTGTCACTAACTTCCTGCTAACCTTGAGTTGGTTGAACTTGACCAGGTCACTGTCACAGCTGAAAGAGGACAGCAGCCGGCGCTGTTCACACCTGAAGTCAGACCCAGCTCGCAGTGAAGTGGGTTGCTGGGCTGGAATGCACGTTCCCTGATGAAAAATGTCTCAACATTAAATAGATAAATATTAAACTGGACACAGAAATGCTCACCTTCTGTCCTCCTTTAATACCTGAGCGCTTGTAGACGGAAGCTCCGCAGCCAGCCGCGTGTTGTGCAGATACCTCATTTTATCCTTCCTGCTGATTTTGTAAAATCCTTCACTTCGAGCAGAGCCTGTTCTGTGGTGCGGCTGCCAGGATCTGTGCTCCTCATTCTTCTCTGTAAGGACCTTAGTCAGTGAGCAGCAGTTAAGGATGTGAACAGCAGAGTAATATGCAAAGAGCAGCTTCATCAGAAAAAACAAAACAAAAAAACATTCTAAGTATGACTTAAAAACAACTTAACTGTTTCCCACAATATAAAGAATCATTTCAACATAAAACACTGTCTGTAAGGATATGAGGATGAGGCATCCAGAGGGTGTCACTGAGCCACCCACAGCCATTATCCTGCACCTGCAGCCTTTCATAGGTGCACTGCAGAAACCTTACATCTTCTTCATCCAAGCCGTCCTTCCAAACGCTATGAAGGATTTTCCTCTCTTCGTAGGGTGAACGCCACCTGTGAGGACGACGTTGAGAGAACAACGGACTGATTCTTTTAAGTGATCTCTCCCAGTGACGGGCCCGCCTTCTCTTCTTCAGCCTCCTCCATCGGTTTAGCCTCAGTAAGATTTTCTCTTTGTCCAACAGCTCAGGCATGTTCTCCAGTCCCTGTAGAGGCTTTGCTCTCACACCTGAACGGATCTGGACATCCCTTCCATCAACGCTGTCACATGAAGAGTCAGAGATGCTGAATGGCGAGGACACTGTGATGGGGGAAACTCTGAAAATATTATTACATGACAGAGGCACTGACGTTGCCGCCACCTTGGATTTCCTTTTGTGGACTATTGATCTTCTGGGCAGGATAATGTCTCTTCCTGGAGTCTTTGGGGCTGTGATGTATGGACTGCTGGGCAAGAGTGGGATAAGTGGTGGGCTGCTAAGGGGCGGGCTCACTGTGCTAAATTCTAAATCTGCGGTCCCTCTTCCAGGTGTTGCAGGAGCTCTGCCTGAGCTACAATGAGTCCACATACCTCTTTCATCTCTGCCAGGAGTCTTAGGCATCTCCTGGCATAATGGGTATGATGCCATGAGGAGATCAGAGGGAGGCTGAGCGAGTCCATCGCTTGCTGGGGAGAGGGAGAGGACTTCCTCTGAATTCTCACTTTCCAGTCCTGCCACTATTCCCTTGCCTGGTGTTGGTGGTCGTTCCTCCTCCTCTGCAGCAGGAGATGATGGTCTGCTTTTTAAAAGGATGTCAGGGTCACTGTCCACCAAACGGCCAGTAGGAGTGGGAGGCCTCAGGCTTTTTATGTTCTCTGGAGACTCCACTGTCCAATCAGGGCTTTCCATCTCCATATCAAGGCATGGCTCCACTGCTATACAGATTAACAAGGAATTTTCATACATAATTATTTCAAAACCTGATACACAACTTACTCTTGTGTAGTTCTGTTAATTTGTAGCACACTGGAAATTCAGGGAGTATTACAAGATATTTTTACATGAGTGACAATTAAACCACTTTTGATTAACCTGATGACACTAACTTAACAGATCTATTGCTTTACAAGGACATGTAACCTGATAGTCCTAGAGGTGATGGGGGCAGCAGGTCCTGGGGGTCGCTGGTATGGAGCTCCATCATGGCATCGAAGTCGCAGTTGTCTTTGTGGCACGATGTGTACTGGTCCTCCTCCGTTTCCTGCCTTGGGAACAGTTCTGACCAGCCCCGCTGGTCCAGATCCAGCTGAGCACCAGGGGTCAGTGGGGCTGAGGGGGTAAGAGGGGGCTCGAGCTCCACTGAGTCCTCATCTGATGATATAACTATACACTCTTCACTCCCGGCGTCCTCGCTGTCCTCCTCGGCGTCTTCACCTTCAGTGGTCAGGTCAGACAACGTGTCCTCAAAGCCCACCGAGGAGAGCGAATCTGAAGTGTCGCAGTCCGACGTGTGCTCGCTATCCTCTGAAAAAACCTCTACATTTGAAAAAGAAGCCACACTGTTCAATGTTAAGATATGTGATTTTTAATGAGTGTTCAGTGTTGTATGAGATTTTAACATACCGCTGTCTAAGCACTGCTCTCCGTCACATCGATCCTCCATCGGACTATTTTCTTCCGCAGTATGATCACTGCCATCATCATCTTCTTCGTCATCACCATGAGCATCTCTGTCAGACTAATCAGAGCACCAGTTATGTAATGCTGTCTCCAGAAGTTTAAACTTTTTAGTTAAAATTTTAATTTTAAGACTAACAACTGAAAAAGTAAAGGCACCAGACTAAAATATTGACCTCAGGGCATTTTTCTCAATTTCTTATTTGCTATTTCTTTTTTCTTTTCTGTCTCTTCATTTACCAGGATGTGCGGCTCATCCTCATCCAGCACAAAAGCCTTCACTTTGTCTGGTATCGCTTCTTCATCTTGAAGTATCTTATCTTCTTTCCCAGCATCACCATCATCATCACTGTCCAGATCCAGTGGTCTTGCGTGTCTGCGTTTGCCTCTCTCAGACGCCGCTCTCAGTATGTCGTCCCCTTTCTTCACCTCTAATGCAACAAGTTAGAATCAGTTAAAGCGACAGTCTGGCACAGAAAGTTAATACACACTGAAATTTGAATTAATCGCACTGACCAGAATGATCGAGAGCAGAACCGGAGTCATTTCCTGTCTCGTCTGATCTTTTCCTTTTTACCTGCGTGGAAATTTCTTTATTTAGGCATCACTTGGCAGTCAAAACCAGCTGTGTTTCAAAAATCTCTCCAAAACAGATTACCTTGAAGGATGGCAGTGGTGGTTTTCTGCTCTGCCCACCAATGTTACTGAGGGGATTTAGGAATTTGTTCCTGTCTTCCACTCTTGCCGCTCCACATTTCAGAGGAGACTCTTGTATCTTAAATGAATCAACTAGGTTATAAGACCCACTGGCTCCAAACAACTACTCCCATTAAAAGACATGCAAAATGTTTTGTTAATGTGCCGACTATAAGAGACAATAAAATATGTGAAAAAGGTTTTACCTTTGCCTTCTTCTCCTGACACTCCCACCAGTCTTCAAATGCCTTGAAAGCGACCCCTTCAATCATTCTACGTGTAATGTCCTTCTTTATGATTGACTTCAGTTCATCCATGAGGATATCTAAAACTTTTTCCGTCGTGATCTTGTGGGGATTTGCCTGCACAGGTGGGTAGAGTGGTGGTGGCACAAAGGGGTTAAACCTTGGAAAAGGAGGTGCAGGCCAGAGAGGAGGAGGAGGAGGAGGAGGAGGGAATGGCAACGGTGGACCGCCATGCCTTGGAGGATTCCCCTTATCCAAAGGACACCCTGGCTGTATGGGTAAAGGGAACATGTGCACAGGAGGTGGAACAGAGGGTGGCGCTATCAAAGGTGGAGGGGGTCTCAGGAAAGTTGGTGGAGGAGGAATTGGAGTACGAGGTGGAATGGGGGGAGGAGGAATGGGGATGGCAGCTTTGTGGCCCAGAGGTGGCATCCATCCTGGAGGAGGGATCGGGATGGTGCCATCTGGCAGGCGAGGTGGAACAGGTGGAAGAGAGGGGGGAAATCGAGGAATGGGGAAAAGGAAAGGGGGTGCTGAGGGTTGGGGGAATCCAGCTGTAACAGTTGGGAGAGCTTTCAGGGTAAGTTGCTGAGTGGTGGAACTGGAAGAACAACCGGATGGAGGATCGGGCAGAGAGAGGTCTTCTGCTGGTGTCACAGCTTCAAACTGTCTGTTATTTGAGGACTTCTTCTCCTGATGTGCTGCACAGTGTTCCTGAATAAGACAGAAACAATAATAATTTGAGTGGCTGATTAATATCACACCATTAACATTTTTACATAGTAACAATAGGGTAAATTCTACCTTTATTATCACTGCAATATATCCAGATAGATTACCTTTGGGCCTGACGATGGCTGGACCCTCTCTGGATCTTCTTCATTGTTTATGTGTGTTAAGCTTTCTGAATAAGCAACATCAGACGGACAGGGAGACTGGGAACTTCTTGTAAGAAATGAAACAGCTCGAGTAGTTTCGTCCTCCTCATTTTCATCCACAGCATCATTGTGGGAGTACTGGTGGCCACTTGTGGGGGATTCACAAGACAGTGGGGTACAAAACTGTGAGTCATCCGAGGAAGAGACCTTAAGAGGTGAGCCAGGTGAAGCCGGGCTCTCTTGAGAGGATGGATCGGTCTCAGAGGTCTTTCCATGAAAGCATAAGGGGTCAGTGATCTGGCTGTTTATCAGCAAACTTTCAATTCGGGAGTCTAGACTTGAAACAGCTGCCTCTGGCTGGTGGTTATCAAATGGAGAAGCTGTTCTAGTTTGCAGGTCAGCTGAGAGATCAACAGTCAGGATGTCGCGAGAGTTGCCATTCAGAGGTGAAGATGCATAACTTGTGTTAACCACATCTTCAGTCTCCTGAAAAGGGGATGTGAGACTAAAGGGAGCCTCGTCACTATTGTTAGAAGAGGTTTGTGCACTGGGACTCCACAATGCAAGCTGCTGGCTGCTAGTTTGTGTTTTGGTTAAGAGGGGATGTGGTGGCTGTGGCTGGAACTGCTTCAGAATGATGCTAACATTTGAGACGTGGCTAAGTCCCCTGTGCTGTCGTCTACGACGGCAAAGCTCTTGTCTTAAAGGTTTGTGAACACTATAGGCAGAGGGTTCCCCTTGGAGGACGGGAGTCGCCTGAAGACTGGAATAGCAAGAGTCGTGGGAGGAGAGAGGAGTCGCAGGCAAGCAGGGAGTCCGGGGGGTTCCCTGAGAACGTGGTGTAAGCCCAAAGCTGCAAGGTGTGTCTTGACAAATACTGGAGTAGGCTGTGTCCAGAGAGAGGGGCGTAGCAATGCTGGTGGGGCTGCAGACATTTCCCAGCTGCTGTGTGGCCGAGCTTCCCTGCAAGATGTTGATAATGAAGTAAAAAAAGGGGGAAAACAATTAACAAATACATTCATATTTAACAGCTGTAATACAAATATTAAAGATAAAATCTTTTCATGGGTCAAATCATTATGAGCAGCTTTTAATAAATTTAAATGTTCACCAGCAAACTGTCAACTAAGCCCTGAAGAGCCCGTTCACTGCTGCCCACCGGCAACGTCCAAGGCGTATACAGCCCACTTAACAAGAGCTGGAGATATCGAGCTCTATTTTCCCCTGAGGAGGAGCACATTCTAGTTAATCAGCATATTCAACACTTACATTTACACCTCAGCACACACACAGAGAAAAAGTAAAGTTTACCCTTTGGATCAAGTTCCACATGAATAATATTTCCCATCACTGATGTCTCATGCAGGTGCTGGACAGCGTCTCTTGCAGCCCTTACTGTATCAAATGTGACCTTTGCGATACCTAAATGCTTCTTGTTTGGGGGATTGTAAAATATCTCCACTTCTTCCATGTTCCCATATTTTTTGCACATATCAGTCAAGAAAGTCTCATTCACGTTGTCGTTGAGCTTAGAAAATGTCACTTCTTTTGGAGGAACGGGAGCCACGTACCACTCATCAATCTGGAGACACACGGGAAAACAAGAAATGGGCTATTAGTTGTTTTTAAAGCACGATTACTTAAAATAGGATGTCTGTATTATTACAGTCGTTTTAACAGTTACCTTAAATTTGGGAACCACGAAGTCAGTCTTGATACACCTGCTCCACAGGCGGCAGATGCGCGGATCCCTGACTGTGATCACAGGAAGTAGACCTAGGTCCTCAACCTGGCAGAGAAGACCCTCGTTATCATTATTATTATAATAGATATAATACATGTGCTGACATCACCTATGTGGAGAGGCGGACAGGTGCTCACCGGCAGGTTAAAGTATTGTCCATCATAACGGTACACTTTGTACAGCCCGTTCGTCAGCGCAGGATCTATAACCAGCTTGCAACTTCTCCAGTGTAGAGGCTGTCTCTCGCTCTCAGTACTTTGTTTTTCGCTTTCCATTACATTCGTCAAAACCTTAAAAAAACCCCAAACAAACAACAACAGTTACTTCCAGTTTGCTCGTTTTGTGCCACACTGTCAGCTAGCTACATTGCTGCTCCGCGAGAGGTTAACACACCCCAACAGGTGATGGAGAGCATCACCTGTAACCTTATCCTCGGGAAAAAAGATAACAGGTGGTGGTAGGAAACACAGAAATACTCAAAGGTTAGTCTTACAAAAGATTTGTTTCTTTAAATCTTGCTTACCTGTTCCAAAGTCGTATCCTTTGAAGGAGCAACATTGTGGAAAAACAGCTGGGATTTATTTTTCTGTGTTTTCACGGATCGTCGCTAAGGTTGGATAATGATCCATCCGCCAGTCGACGGAGAGGAAAAAATAGATCCTGAACAAGGCGGAAGAACACCTAAGGTGGGTTAACAGGTGAGGTGTATATATAGGCACCTTTGGGACCTTTATTAGACATTAATAATCCAAAGACTGGTCGAATATTTGTGTTAAGCTTGTGACTGAGTGCAAATACAATTTACATACTAAACATAGGTTATGGCCACTTGCTGGTAGCCAGCAATAAAATAAAGGGCAGCTGCTATGTTTGATATTATACAGTACATGGATCAGTACGGTAAAAATGAAAAAAATTAAACAAAGGATACACCTTTTTATTAAAAATGAAGTGACATGTGCAGGTATTAATATAAAAACATGTATTTCCTGGTCATTGTCTCTGGATAATGTCTACATTATATGCAGTGCAGGATCAGCCTTTGTTTTTTTGTTTGTTTTTTTGTTTTACAGAGTCAGGTAAGATAGCCTACTGCACCGTTGATTACATAATTGCAGCATTTTCATTACTTTCATCTCAAAGTTGGAATAAATACTAAATAATAACAGCCAACAAAATAATAAAAGAATAATATTGATACTCTTATGGGATTAAGGTGTTATCCTTAACTTACACATCACCTTCTAAACCAAGCATTTATAAGGTATTTATAAGTGATGTCTTTATGGTTTGCCGTTTGCAGTTGGTGCTTCTTTAACATACCGCAGTTTTATTTTATTTGTGCCGTCTTGTGTTGTGGCACTTCTTAAATGGGGTGACCAAAATACATGTCAGTTGCAAAGTACACCTGCACAAATCCAAGATAAAGGTCAGATTGAAAAGCACATTACCTTAACAGCGGCTACTATTACTGTTGCTAGTTAATATTATTAGTTTGTAACTATAGTATCAGGTAACCCATTTTTATGATTCACAGGTCATTTGTGGGAATAAAACTCTTGAGTGGGAAAATGGAGAGAGGAAGAACCAAGCCTGTGCTGCACTTAGAGAGCTCTGCCAACTATGAAACCATGCACAACTTCAGCAGAAAAGCAACAAAGTGCTAATGGTCTCAAAGAATGCAGACAAAAGTCAGCAAGGAGAGGGGGGGGGGGGATTTCTCTGTCTTGGCTTCAGCACTGTAAGCTCCACTCGTCCTCCATTTTTGGACATTTCCTGTGTGGTTTCCCATTAGATGTTGTAATTTTGACAGATTACAATGTTTCCTCATGTATTCCTGTTTTATACATCCACATGGCTACACGGACAACACTGAACACACAATTAAAAAAATAATGAGAACAAATCTTTTTTTTTATTTTGCAAACTGGCAAAAAAACCCAAAACCAACATCCTGATAATTCTCAACACTTCATGAAGCTTCAAGCTTTTTCATGAGCTGTTAACGGCACGCATAAGCAAAAGTTACTATGTTCACTTCAAAGTTGTACACTGACAAAAGCAGTTTACACACACACACACACACACACACACACATATATATATAATGCAGAAAAATTAACCACAGTGACCACCTTCACCTGCATTGCTGTGTTTTTAAAGAAGGCACAAGTGGTAATTCCCATCTTACATGTTTCACGGAGGGAGTGTGCACCATTTACCGAAATAAAACAGACTTCACTTAACTCCCGATAAAACAACAACAACAAAAACAGCAAATTCAACTTAAGCAAAGAAAAACATCAACACCATTTTACTGAACTGTCTGTGAACTATTCCCAACAGTCTTTGGTTTCTGCTACGTGTCACACAGATTTTATCACCCGGTCAGGACAATTTGAATGCAAATGTGGTCTACAGTTACTGCAGTCCCATGACTCAGTATAAACCATGTCCACAGATTGCAAGTTAACAATAAAACAGTGTTACATTGATAGAAACACAGCATTACAAGCACCAGTAAATTAAAAAAAAATCAAAAACATAATTTTTCCCAAAGAGGGAAAAAAAAGTTTCCTCCAATATTTTAAATCATGTTGTGAAAGAAGATACTACGTGTACAATGTCCTGAAATTACATTTCTGTTGTGACACTATTCTACATATCAATATTACAGTAAAAACTACAAAGAAAGTGACCAAACCCGTGTAAAACAATAAAGCAGTACAGTACATAGCGTACTTAAATACATCTATGACCCAAACAGGGTGAACATGCTCAATGCTAAAAGCTAACACAAGAACAAACACTCAATATTTTCATGCAACGTAACATTGTAATAACACATTCAAAAACACTTTTTTGAAACCAGTGGCCACCTGTGGATTTTACAGTATATTGCAAGAGTCATTTAACATGAAGAAAATATCCATGTTACAAAGGGATAACACATTTATTTCTACTCAAATATCCATACCGCAGTAACACACTCCTGAACGCAGACTGGTTAAAAGCACACACTGACACATGTTCTTTTCCATCAGATTGCACACAAATACTGTTGGTTTATATTGTACTCTTCTTTATCAAAGACTTACAGAGCTCCCAAGGATTATGAAAACAGCAATTTTTAAATTAAAAAGTAAGAAAAGTTTGACTCAAAAGTATGTGTAAGAGTGGCAAACTAAAAAAGCCACTAAGGTTTGGCTTGGAGATATTTCTACAGAAAGCCTAATTTGGTAAACATGATAGTGGCATGAGGTCAGTCAGTCAAGAACCAGAAAACCTGTAGGTAAATGCAACAGTAGGCTGGAGTTTTACAGTATACGCAGAGAGCAAAAAGAACCCGAGTGTGCTGCTCAGATCAATTTAGTACAATACAAACAGAAAACTGATGAAATTTTAGAACTGGGTAACAACAGAGTTCCCAGATTTCTTTTCAGTAAAAATTGAAACAAATTCCTGAACATGTTGAGTCATATTACAAACTTCCTCGTTTTTAGCCCATCTTACTCCGATCAACAGTTTTCTGCTGCTGTTATAACTTAAGAGAACTTAGTTTCTATATTTTTCTCACATGAACTCAGTATTTGATGTAAAAAGCTAAACACGTTAGGGGATCATCCCAACGCATTGAAATGCTCATGTGAAGATCTTTAGAAAGTCCTATTCTATTAGTGTTAGTCTATGGTAGCCTAAAAGGTCGTCCTTTAAGGCTACCATAGACTAAGTTATGATGATACTGATGATGATGTTTTCAGCTGAGAGCCAAGCATTTACAAAGAAACTACAAAGAGTAAAATTACCGGATAATTTAGTCAGCATGCAGTATCAAAGAAATGTACAGTAGAAGAAGATTTCTAAAAACAAGCATCTGGATAAAGTAAAAATAGAGGTTCTACTCTGGTTTTGCTGAAAGTCCCTGCTGTTGTCTGCGTGTACTCAGGGAAAATGGACAGCGGCCTTCAGGTCGTCGTTCTCAGCCCTGTTCTCCAGCTGGTTCTGGAGCCGAATGACCTGCTCCAGGTCTCTGATCTGTCTGTCCGTTTTATGACTGACGAGCGTGCGGTAAAAGTGGACAGCGAACATGATAAAAACAAGTCCAAATGGCACCATGATGCAGGTGGAAGCTATGGCCGCAGCCACGCCAGGACTTATGGTGTCATTTTTCTCATCTGCGTTGCTTTTGAGGGGTAAGAACTTCACCCAGCACAAGAGCACCACCTCCGTCAGGAAGAGGAGGGTACCGATAACTGTGGAGAAAGCCCAGGCCAGTTCTATGTGGCGGTGCATGCGCTCATGGGGAGATTCGTTGACAGAGTTGAGGTTGTGAACATTGCTGACAGCCTCCAGGTTGGGCAGGATGCAGGTGCTGATCATGAGGGCAAAGAGGTGCACTGCAACCAGAACGGTGGTACAGGCGCTGAAGGCTATCAGCAGCCCTGGAGGGTACTCGTAATCCCGCTCCAGCTGTACCTCCACCATGGCAACCTGAGAATATCAAAAAGGAAACAGCTCCGTTAGGTGAAAAAGAGATAGTAGCTGACTACTAAGAGGAATCAGAATTCTTGACCTGAGAGAAAAATGTTTGTAACAAATTAGGAAGTGCTGGAATTAAACCAGAGTGTCACAGTTTGCACAAATAACCGGAAACAAGGTGAATACCCCACTAAAAGTCTATTCTGTCAAACCTAATATTGAGACAGAGAGACAAACAGAGAGCTGTGTATGTAATCCTTTATGCTGCATAGCTTAAACTTACTCGACATCAGTAGCACATTTGCTACGGCTGTTATATATACAACCACTATAAATATTGTACTGCTTTTCACAAAAGAATCCCAGGCCACCCAAGAGTATCTTGTGTGTACAGGTATATTTTATAAACAGAACTGTTTACAAGTGTTCTGGTATTTTTGAATACCTGTGGAGCTTCTTACTGCAGATGCATCCCTGGCCAAGAGTTACTGTACATCATAATTTTTGCATCAGGAAGGGGGAAGGAAGCTCCTTCTATGTGTTAGGCTTTTAGTTTTACAAAAAACATTTGTTGATTCATTGTAACTGCATGTCGTTAAATTAAAAACAAACATTTGGTGGCACTATAGGCTATTATTTTCAAAACTTTTCATGTGTTTTTTTTTGTTTCTTATGTATTTCAACGCTCCTCCGCGGACTACTTATTAAAGCGGAAGATAAACCTGGACTTTTAGGGGTGGCGCAGGCGAGCCCCCACTAAATTTCCACGAAGTTTTGCTCTCAGTGCGCAGGTATTACAGTCCCGCAATGTGGGACGTGCAATAGAAGCCAAATATGACTTTAACAAGCCTACACTAGTAACCCGTAGACTTCCAGTAAACAAAACGGTCATTTATGCTAAGTATCAGTGCACCGTAGCTGTCATTAGGCCTGTAACACGGTCACGGTCCTTCAAAACTAAATAAATAAATTGTGCCTCACGTAAACTATCTGCAGCGTCAAATTAAAATGTAACTTACCATTGCGAAGCCCGACAAGAGAGCCGAAGTGCGACTGGTTGCTTTCAGTTTGGCTCGGCTCAAGTAGAGTTTTCTCCAGGACAGAGCCTGCATTGAGTGCTCGTTCAGGCTCATTGCGAAGTAATTTTTTGTTATGAATATATCGTTACAAACTGGTATGAGCTACAGGACGGTGCTCGATGACACGTGAAATTCGCGCGCGGGGAAGGCTGTTCCAAGGGGATCCAACATCTAACTACAGCAAAAAATAAATAAAGATGGGAAACTTTACCAAAAAGAAAAAAGTTTTCCCTCAACAGCTGACCGACTGTCAGAGTCTATCAGGAAACAAGATACCCACAATCCAACGCACCGCAGAGGCGCTGCCGGCTGCTGCAGATCGCCGCCCTGTGTTTAGCGCCGTGCGATTCTGCAAACTGTGATATCGATCAAATACCAAGTAAACACGGGGACAATATTGGCGAAACAGATATGATAATTTTACTCTATAAAGAAAGCGTACGTAGGGGAGAGCAGTGTCTCATGACTCATGAGACGAATCATCCAGTTCTGAACGTACTGGGCTAAAATCACTGTGGTTAAGGCAACAAAACACACCTTTCAGCTTTTCATGTATTTTGAAACTAGTTTTTTTTCCCTCGGAGATTGTAAAGAAGAGGACTCCCTTACTACTATTTATATTATAATTTGTATTGCATTTTAGGACCTTTTACTTTATTAAAAGCACCTTATCTAGCACTTTATTTAGCATTGCACTTTAAATATAGATTTTGCACATGAAGAACATTTCCACACAGTTTAACTATTTATTGAATATTTATTGTGTATTTTAAAATCAGTTGATCGCCTTTGTTCCAGGTCCTGCACAGCTGCTCCTCATCAAGAAATGTGGTGGTTGTCTGTGAGGAGAAAGAAATTGTGATTGAGAGAAAATAAGGTTTAACAGTAAGGAAAACTAACGTGAATGTGAAAATTAAGCAGTAAACGTGGTGCAAAGAAGGGATGTGATTACTCACCTTTCTTTCCTGTGTCCTCTTCAGGGTGTTTGGGCAAATGTTGTCCCGGGGGTCCAGACACTATTTAAAGGGTCCGGGAGAGGCCATGGGTTAAGGGAGTGTGGGGAATCTTTTGTGCTTGGGTTTTTTTCTTTTTTGGTGTTTTAAATAAGATATAATGTATGTATTAATATGTATTAATGTGAAAATGTAAATGTATTTATATATTTATTTATTGAAATTGATGTATTGTATAATGTGGTGAAAGGTTGGGATTTGAGAACTGTTAGTGGAATAATGGTTTAGCCTGTGACAGCTGAAAGTATTTAAGGCTGCTAGCTGTCATTGGATGCAGTTTTGTGAGGTGAGCTATACTATGAATAAATTCTTTGGTCCACTATACTTGTCTTGGTGTGCCTCATTGTTACAAGTGGTGTCAGAAGTGTGTCGTTCACGCTACAGTGAGAAAATAATGACAAGAGGTGGAAGAAAGGATATGTGATATGGATATGTGAGCGTGACCGTGACCTAAAGACGGCAAAGGAAGCAGCTAGCCTCATTGAGGTTTTCACTTCCACCAGAAAGGGAAGCAAGAGCACCTACTTGAGCCGGGAGACCCACTATGCTAAACCAAGTAAGCCCAGTGGGGGTGAAGAGGACTCTGGTCAAGTTCAGGCTAGAAATCCTTCTAGTTCCTGGCAGCTCCCTTCCCAAAGACCTCACAATGTTAAGAAATCTTTTAAGTCTCCAGTTCAGGATATTAAATGTTATCACTGTCATAACTTTGGCCATTCGAACCATTTCTCACTCACCATCGATAACTCCACAGTTTTCCCTTCTCCTCAGGTTAAGAGCCTTGGTGTCATCCTAGACAGTTCACTTTCCTATAAATCTCACATTAGTAATCTCACCCGTTCTGCCTACTTCCATCTACGCAACATTAACAGATTACTTCCTTCTCTTTCCACCCAGTCTACGTCCATTCTTGTCCTCAGTCTTGTTGCCTCCCAAATTGACTACTGCAATTCTCTTCTGCATGGTCTCCCCCAAAAATCCCTCCATAAGCTTCAACTGGTTCAGAACTCTGCTGCTTGCATTATCACCAGAACCCCCTCCTACCAGTACATCACCCCCTGTTCTTCAGGAACTTCACTGGTTCCCTGTGAAATTCCAGATAATATTCAAACTTCTTCTGCTCACCTTCAAGGCCATTCATAACCTCGCTCCTCCTTACCTTTCTAACCTGTTAAGCACTACCTGTTCTGCCCGTTCACTTCGATCTTCTTCTTCTATCCATCTTGCTGTACCTTCCTTCTGCCTCACCACCATGGGAAGCAGAGCTTTCAGCTGCTCTGCTCCCAGGCTGTGGAACGCTCTACCCCCAGAAATAAGAAACAATGGTTCTCTCCCCCAGTTTAAATCCCAACTCAAAATCCATCTGTTCAAATCTGCATATTCACTGTGAATCCACTGTTTGTTAATTTTATTTTGTGCTTTTGTTTTATTGTTCTTAGTTGTTATTGTTCTATTATGTGTTTTATCCTGTTGTAAAGTGTCCTTGGGTGACTTGAAAGGCGCTCATAAATACAATTTATTATTATTATTATTATTATTATTATTATTATTATTATACACAACATTTTGCCATGCCCTTAAATCAAAACCATCTCTTTTGTGTGCAGTTCCAAGACCAGCCACAGAGCCAGTAGGAAAGAAAGCTTATATTGTCCCTGTTTTAATTTATGGGCGTAAAGAAGAAGCTTTGCTTTGAAACTCTTGTACATTCTAGGTTGAATTCAGGGGAAAATCTAAGTGATGCATCTAGAGGCTAACTTCCTCTAGATATGACAGCAGAACCATTGAAACCCTGTCATGTAGGCACAAGACCATAAAGTGCAAAGAAAATGATCTAAGAGCTACCCCCCCCCCCTTTTTTTTTTCTTTCTTTTTGTTTGAGGAGTCTCTGGAAACAGAGAACAGAAAAGGGAAAAGGTCAAAGGCTCAGGGGAAAACGGTACACCATGGTTTCCCAAGCCAAATAACCAGCTTGAGTTTGACATTCCCTCAGATTTAGGTGCACTCCAAAGAAGCGACCCAACTCTAAAACCCTGGTTTGAGAAGGTAACAGAGGTAGAGGGAGCTAGTCAAGGTCAGGTAAGATCTTGTAGACATTGTTTACTTAATTAAAGGAGGCATCTTGTACCAGGAAAAAGAGGAAGTGTGAGGCGGTAGCACTCCCACAACAGTTCAGAAACAAAGTTACGGATTTAGGCCATTCAATTCCATGGGCAGGTCATATGGCTTTTCTCAAAACACTGAATAGGATCAGCAGCAGTTTTGTGTGGCCAGGGATGTATGTCCAGGTTTCCAGTCCTTCTCAGTTCCGATGACAAAAAAGGAAGGTGAGAGGTTTTCTGGGTCTGGTAGGCTGGTGCAGAAAATTCATATTTTATTTTGCAGAGCGATCCACTGCACTGAATGACCTCACAAAGGGTTCAGCCCCCGACAAAGTGTGTTGGACAGAATGTGAGCATGCATTCAGAGAGCTCAAGGAAGCAGTATGCACACATTCAGTTCTATACAGCCCAGACTTCAGCAAGCCATTCATCTTGTAAACAGATGCTTCAGAAGTAGGCCTTGGAGCTGTGCTTCAGCAAGATGGTGAAAGAAGGCCTGTGGTGTTTCTGAGTCGGAAACTACCTGACAGGGAGACGAGGTATTCGACAGTGGAGAAAGTGTTTGGCCATGAAAATGGGCTATTGAGATCTTGAGGTATTATCTTCTGGGACATCACTTCACTCTAGAGACTGATCGCTGTGCCCTCCAGTAGTCGAACCGCATGAGGGATGCAAAGGCTTGCATTGCAGGATAGTACCTGTCTTTGCAGCATCATGACTTTACGGTCCTGTACAGGCCAGGGAAGTCAAATGTGGTTACTGACTGTTTATCCAGCATGACAGAGGACTGAAGCACTTTGCACTTAAGAGAGGGGAGGAAATGTAAGGAAGAGGACTCCCTTACTACTATTCATATTATAATTTGTGTAGCACTTTAGGAGCACCTTTTACTGTATTAAAAGCAACTTATCCAGCACTTTATTTAGCATTGCACTTTAAACATAGATTTGCACATGAAGAACATTTGCACACAAGAAGTTTAAGTGTGATTGTGTGTGAGTCAAAAATTTGAAGTAAAGGTGGTGCAAAGAGGATATGATTACTAACCTGTCTTTCCTGTGTCCTTTTCAGGGTGTTTGGGCAAATGCTTCCCCGGGGGTCCAGACACCATTTAAAGGTTCCGGGAGAGGCCATGGGTTAAGGCTTGGGTTTCTTGGGTTTTTTGAGGGTTTTGTTTGTTTGTTTATGAAAATGTAAAATGTATTTGTATGTTTATTTATTGAAATTGATGTATTTAAGGCTGCTAGTTGTCATTAGATACAGTTTTGTGAGGAGAGCTATACTGTGAATACATGCTTCGTTCCACTATCTTGGTCTTCCTCACTGTAAATCCAGCCGCAAAAGGCCGCACTGTTACAGAGATGTAGAATATAAACACATCTGTCTGGAAAGCACTTTGGGTTTGCTCTTGTTTAAATTTGCCATGAAATATAAATAAAAAGGACGTGACAAAGTTCAAACATTTTTTCATATTGTGTTTGAAGTATTTTATTTCAGTTTCCTAAATATACAGATAATAGTAATTTCACACAATTCAGTGGGCTACATATTCAACTTAGAGGATGGAAACAAAGTATCAATCCTGCTATGCAACTTCAAGATGAGAATTTACAAATATCTGGTAAATCACAAATCTTTCAAAGTTTCTTGTTATCTTTAAAAAGGATATTACACAATGATAATGCAATGAATTTAAAAACAAGCTACAATACAAATTTAAAATATAAACATTTCTGCTTTGGTGCAGCAGGTCCTTTTAGTGGTGTTTCAGTCAGAAAGTTTTGCAACACTTGAATTACCACAAGGTAACCACTTGTATATTTCCTGGCATTCAGTAGGCGGACGCACACTTTTTGTATCAGTGGGGGGATCTAGTTGTGGTACTTCTCTGTGAACTGCCAGAGTAGTCTGCCAGTGGGAGGGGAAACCATTCGGGGGCCAGACATAGCACAACCAAACATCTCACAGAGAATATTAGAAATGTTACTTTTTGCTTTATGTTGAACTGCTCCTGTGTCGTGAATACACTGACCTATGAATCTGTTCTTACACCGTCAGGAGCCCTAGACAAGATAATTCCAAAGCCATTACACTGTAGCTGGAGCAAACTGAGTTTCAACACTGGGTGGCGTCAATATGTTCATGTTCAATCTTTACACACACATTCTTGCTTTACATAACTCTGTGTTTAATCATCATAATTATATAACTAACCAAAGAATGAGTAATACATACTTCACGTTGTGTTGAATCTGCTGTCAGGTAGGCTAAATCAGATAAGAAAGACAGTTCTTGACTGGGAAATCAAAGTGCCGTTTTTCACTTTTAGTTTAAGAGTGTTTACATCTAGCTACATTAGGTGAACTTTATACACTGTACATACATGGCTGTATAGTTGGGAATATTTTTAAAGTTTCAATTATTAAAAGTAAACACATTATCACCTTATCAACATTTGATGACAAACGCCTGAATAAACTCACTGAGTGTTTTTGAAGTTTAATGCTATTTGTAAACTGCTAAGCCCATAAGGATTAAAAGGTTAAACGCATTAAATAAACCTTTGAAGAATTTGTTCTGCCACTGAGTCATACAGCCCATAGACTGCCTACAAACGCCAAGACAAAAGCAAAGACGGACGAGTGTGGGAGGGAGACATCTTGTTTTACCTGCTTATCTTTACTTCCTGTTTCATCGACGTTGCGTTAACATGCCACGTTAATTACAGTTAGCCGATTTTATTGTCATATGGATAGGGTGTTAATACAATAACGAACCATCCCAGAAACCTGTATATTTGTTAAATTTCTGTACAACCCTCTGCGTTTACGTTTCTTTCCAATACATTTTGAATTATAGTTGTGTCGTTTAGGTTTTTTACGTCAGTTTTGATATTTCCTATGGTTCGTGAACGCAGCCTGCAGAAGCTGCCTGTGTGTGTTTGGTGTGAAGGAGGGGGGGGGGACGAACTTAGCTTGTTCAGCCATGTTAGTTTTCTCAAACGATGAGAGAGAGGAGACATGGCCTTGTCACTGAGCGGAGACGATGAGGAATATGATTCAGAATCTGAGCAGGTATTTTAATTTCGTGAACTCTACTTTGCTCTGTATGCTTCTCGATTTTTAAAAAAGGGTTTTGGCGTTTTTTCCTTTTCGTCAGTTACTTCAGGTGAATGTTTGTATCCGCTTTTCCTCTCTCTATGTAGGTTAGTCGGGTTGAAAGGAGAAGGTGTGTTTTAAACCTTATTCTTCGGTCAGCCAGGTAATAGCGAATAAACACAAAGCTAAATATTTGTACACATTTAAAAGAACTGGAGTTCCTCCTTTTTGTGTTCCGTGACCGTCCAAAAACACACCGTGTCCTCGCCTCCTAGACACCATCTATCTTGTTAGCCACAACCGACCCATTTTTGTACTGACCACCTCTTAATAGCGAGCAGCCTCATCCAGTGAGGTTACAGATCCGCGGCTGTGACCACAACCTCGTTATCATCCACTACCTTAACGGTGAAGGCCATCCGACTTTATGCTGGCCAACTTGTGATTTTGTCGTGCACTTTGGTTAACCTGCTATATCGAAACTGTTTTTCATGTGATTGATTTCCTCTCACTTCCAAAACTTGTCCCACAACTCTGCGCCTTTAAGAAAGCTTTAGTCAAAAACGTTGAGGAAGCAGGGACAGAGAAAGGGGGTGGGGGTGGGGAGAGGGTAACAATGAAGTGCCTCTACTTCTGTTACTTAGTAGTCCAGTGGCCCCAAACTGGGCAAATGGGTTTGATTTTTAACAGAAATAAAGCTTTAATGTGGCTTACAGGGGGGAACTTCTCATGAGTGGCATGGAGTGCATGCTCATTTGAGGTCAGCAGCATGGATACTTTCTCACAGGGCTCATTAGATATTGCACAAGTCTCTCCAGCACACAGTTGGCATGTACAGTTCAAGAGAAATGGGAGAAGTGCTGATGTAAGCGTCAGACCCCTGCTCTTACACAATGTTTATATCCACAACACTCACAAGCAGTGTAGCATCAAAGATCATATTTTGAAGTCTTCTGTTGTGACATATTATAGGGAGAGCAGCACATGTTATTTGTGCTAATTGAGCCTGGGCAGCAGATGAAGGCAAACGTGAGTTTCACTCGCTGACATCCACGCTGATGCTGAGTCAGAAGATTGTGTCACAGCAATATGGGCCATGTTTTTATTTGCAGGACTCAGCAGCCAATTAGTGTCTGTGCAGAGACAGTGGATCTGTAGCGTAGTGGTTTACACATTTGGCTACTAAGTGATCATGGGAGGAGATACATCTGGGATTTTAAAAAAAGCAGCCAAATAAAATTTGGAGACATGGAGGGAATGGAGGACATGTCAGTTTTTTGTTGTGGTTTTAGACTTTGCATGGACTTTTTTTGCTCAGAGACTCGGCCTTACTTTAGATATGCTATGTGAGACAAAGTCATGTGAGATAAGGTTAGGGAAATGGTGAGGTATCAGCCACACCTGCAGCAACAGCACCTGTCCTTTCTTCTGTGTTTCTTTCTCATATTTCCGTATTAGTCAGATGGATTAATGGAAAGCTTGGCACCATGAAAATAAGCTTTGCCTGGTTTGATCATTTAGCCTGGTTTTGCATAGATGCTCTGTCAGCAGCAGCAGCAGGCAAAGAACAACTTCTTGAGCTGACAGCAACACAACAGAAGAAACTCTGTTATGTAAAGGGATAGATCTAACAACGCGTTCCAAAATCCTCCTGGGGGAAAACGCTCCAAAGAGCAGTTTCTGTTAAACAAGAAGAAACATGTTGTCACTGTTGTTATTAGCAATTTGCCGTGAAGCTTCTTTAGCACATATTTAGGGCTGGTTTCTCCACTCCTTTCAGTGAATATCATTCAGAAAGCAAGAGTGACGTTATCGTTCGCCTGGAACATCTTGTTTTACCTGTCTGCAACGCCTCAGTATCATCTTCCACATAAGACAACCGCAGAGGCTTGAATGATCTTAATTTATTGTAATTTGGTGTTTTATACAAATGAATGGAGTAATAATTGGTCAAAGAGCTGAAATGAGCCGTCGTGCGTGGGCCGTGTGTGATTTCAGTAATAGAATAAGAATAGATGACATCAGGAAAGTGCTCAGAGCACAAATCATAGCTCCACTCTGAGCTTATTTTTATCCATCTCTCTCAGTTTTTTATTCAAACAGTTGCCATCAGAGAGGCAAATGTGTTGCCTAGGTAACCTCTCCTCCTGTGTGATTTGTCTTATTTTCATAGTGCTTTATATTGCCCTGCCATGGCAACAGGGAAGAGAGTAAGAAGGAGATGTGAGAAAATCACAAAATGAATTAAGGTTTCAGGATTCAGTTAGATAATTGGTTGCTTAAATTTCAGTCTGATCGTTAAATTACTGTTTTTATTTTTAGTCCACAGCATCACACAGTTGCTGCTTCCAGTGACTCAAATAAGAAGATTTGGAGTATGCTTTTGTCACAATTCTCAAGGTGACACCCTTAACCCTAAGCTTAACATGCACTGTGAGGACACAATTTCATTGACATGCCTACATTATGGGTACAGTTCAGTTTATATAGCGCCAAATCGCAACAGAAATTGCCTCAAGGTGCTTCATATCGTAAGGTAGAGACACTACCCTGACCACAGCTTTGTTTTTCTTTTTTTTAATTGTTAACTTGATTTAGAGTGAGTACTAGTTAACCCAGTAGCCAATAAGCAAATCATTTGTTTAATCAGTAACACAATAATTGTATATCAAAAGCCTACAAACACCACTTATGTGTCGTTAATGTTCCATCCAATAGGAATCCAGTACTTTTTAAAGCAAAAACATGCAAATATTCACTGATTCCAGTTTCTAAAATGTGAGAACTTTTTACTTGAAATGGTAATCTGAATACCTTAATTTGGGGTTATTTTGAGAGTTCATGATCAACTTTTCAGATATTTTGTTGACAAAATAATTACTTAGGAAATATTAAGGGAAATTAATTGATGAAAATTAATATTAATTGCTGCTTAAGTATAAACTGTTTCCACATGGCTCTGTTTGCCGAAGGATAGTAAAATCCCAAGTTCAAGGTGGAACTAAACTAAATTCCTTGTTTAGTTAAGGAATTTTTTAGTAGCTGGGTCATATGACTCACATGTAATTAAGCAGCAGCAAGAATAGCCTATAAATAAATACATAATGCATGCATCACAGTTTGATGGCAGTGCCAGTTTGATGGGATTCCTTGCGCTGATTACTATTATTTCAGCCGTTTGGTCTGATATCTGTTCACCTGTTAGTTTGCTTAAAGGTCCTGTGTCCATGTTCTCAATGACAGAGAGTCTCTTCATTTTGAGTTATCATCTAATGTCTCTTACGTTTTTTGCCTTCCAGCAGCGGGCAGCTAACCGGCCCAAACCCAAAATGGGGACGTCGTCAGCTGTTAAGCTGCCGTCCAACCGCAGCTCCTCTGGAGCCCGCCGCAGGAGGACACGCTGCAGAAAGTGCGAGGCGTGCTTGCGGTCTGAATGCGGGGAGTGTCACTTCTGTAAGGACATGAAGAAGTTTGGTGGACCAGGGCGCATGAAGCAGTCCTGCATCATGAGACAGTGCATCGCGGTGAGTCAGTAGAGCTTTAGAGCCAAAATTATCCATGAAGACATGTAACACTGTCAGCTTTGTTTTTCCAAAGCATTCACTGCTTAATAAACTTTATTTCTGCTTGTTTTTTCTTTTTTCTCCCCATGCAGCCTGTGTTGCCCCACACAGCAGTGTGTGTAGTGTGCAAAGAAGCCGGGAAGGAGGACACACTGGAGGATGAGGAGGACAAGTTTAACTTTATGCTGATGGAGTGCTCCATCTGCAATGAGATCGTCCATCCCAACTGCCTGAAGGTACAGAAGGGTGCCTACGTTGGGAACAGCTGAACAACTCCACCTCATCATTACAGTCATTGTGACGGTGACTCACACTGTTGCAGTAATGTGCCAGGAATCTCAGATCATTGTAACATGACAGGAGTGACTCAGGCAGTTGAATCGCAGTCAGAGGAGATAATTGGGTAGAAATGTTGATGTTTACATAACGCTAAAAAAACTTTGTTTGTGATGTGGATCTTAAGATTTTACGGCTCCCGACATGACACCATCACGCTGAGGGTTTCACTGAACACACGCTTAAGAAAGCTTAAGAGGTCAGGAGTTTAAAAACAAACTCTCAGATTAAAAAATAAACTGTATTAGATCATGACCAAAAAGGGCAACACACTGCACACACCCTGTTTGTAACCTGTTATGCGAAAACACAATTTGCTATTTGAATATGTTTGGTCAAACCAGTTTTTGAAGCATGGTCTGCATGTTTGTTTTGCATGCAAGAGCTACGAATTTTTAATGCCATCAGCTAAATTCCTCAAAAGAGTAGAAAACAAACAAACAAAACAGAAAAAAGAGGCTGCCTCTTTGTGCCTCGTTACAGGTTTTTCCTAGCTGTTTTATTGTCTTGTTGCAGAATATATTTGGAACCTCATACAGCAGTTTAGATTTGTAACAGCATATTTAGGCCGAGTTGAGATCTTTAACTGTTTATACTTCCCTTTTCTGAGTAATCCATGAAGCAAGAGTTGGCATGTTTAACAGCGACTGAGGTTAAACTGTGCTGACCTGCCTAACAAGTACGCGTCACAACAGCCACTTTCACTTCCCTTGCCTTGTTTGCATTAAACACACTGAACACAAGACTAAGCGAGAGCTGGCAGTTCAAGTTGAAATCCGACTCATTTGGCTGTTGTTTTTATCAGGTGTGCGACGCTTCGGGGGTGGTGAATGATGAACTCCCTAACTGCTGGGAATGTCCTAAATGCAACCATGCTGGAAAGAGTGGAAAAGTGAGTACAAATATGTGTGTGTCACGGTTTTTATGTCACGTTTCAGCTCATCAAGTGTGTTTTGGAAACAAAAGAGAATTAATTAGCATTACAGAGCTTTTGTTGCTTTCATTATTTCAATATTCGGTTAAAGCGTGTGTTGATCAACTTGCCACTTCCTGTTTATACTTTTGTCATCTTTCACATGTGGCAGTGAAGCAGGAAACCTCTGACTGCTGTGTCTTTTATGTTCTCGGTCACATTGATTTTGTTTATTAAACCATAGGAGCACTTTTAGGAACAGCGTCTTTTTCTTGTCAATATAGGCTAAAGGTATAAAGTTGTCTCGCAATTATTGTCCCTTTGGCATTGAAGCAAAAAAGGGGCCCGGGGTTCAAGTATGCCTCCAACCTCCCTGGCTCTTTGCTGAGGGAACAGAAGCCTGTGACAAAGGAGGAAGGGGACGCTTCTTCAGCAACTAAGAGGAGGTCAGACAAAGAGGAGACACCCAGGTACCGACCCGAGGAGTCTCTCAGCCGCCAGCCGCCGGTGCTTTCACCCAGCAACCTGCCACGGCCCCGGCCCGAGGACAAACTGAGGAAAAAGAGGAAGCTGTTTGATGATGATGAGGAAGAGGATCTCAGTATGAGGAAGAAGGTTTGTATAATAATGTACAGTGTGTAAATGGAGCAGTATTTTGGGGGCTCTAGAGTGCGACCAAATTGGTCACAAATGCGACCAAATTTTTCAATGGTGCGACTCAAAAAAATCCTAGTTCGCACCGGTGCGACCAGATGTTCGAGTAAAAAAACAAACAAACAAAAAAAAACCCGTCTCAGTGTGGTCAGACATAGTCAGGGGCGGGACTTCTCTGATTGGCCGTGGTGCAGATATTCCTGTGGTCCTTCGTGTGTACGTTTGAAAGTGCAGGTGGATAGAATTCCGCACAAAGACGTAAACACAGAGCGTGGACCCGACGCATCAGAATCAGTTTTCTCTTTCTTGGCTTTCTTACCCAACAGCACGTGAATGTCGTCATTAATTCCCTCTGACTTTTGCTGTATTGCTTCCACCATGATAAAATCACACTTCATGCACAGCTTTCTCTCTCTGTGTACTTTAAGAATAGTTTCCCATCTCAAATCTCTGTTTTCGCCATTATTAATTCGCTTAATTACCCACCAAACTACCGCTGTTTACAGCGCTATCTGACGCTTTTTTTTTCTTTTCTTTTTTTTAATGACCTCAGACAAGAGAGGGCAGCAACTTCTGCTGTTCAATACTGAAGAAATTTAAACTTTTTAAAATTATGCAAAATTGCAGAATATTTTTAAGGTTATCTGCTATAAAACGCCAGACTGTCTGAGGCAAAACTGAATTGAATCCAATCGGGACCTTGTAAATCTGAATCGAAAGGATTATAGAAATCAATGATGATACCCAGCCCTAGTGAGTAGCCTAGGCCTGACAGAAGTGGATGTAGCTGTGGGTAATAAGATGTAAAAAGAACTATTGATAACTTTTTTGTTAAGGCCTGATCCGTCTGAAATTCATAGCCAGTGCTCTGACAAGGAGCCATCATTCTCTGAACCCGAAAAAGCACAGTGTATCCAGAAAACACATTATGTGCTGTGATAAATGCACTGCCCAAGTGTCCCCTCTCCCCACTGCCTTTCAGCGGCAGGCAGCAGCAAACAGGTCGCCAGAGGAGGCCGATGTGATGATTCATTTTAACATTGTCTACAAAGTTACCAAAGAGTGCCAAAGCACTGCAAGCACAAACACTTTTTCAGTAACTTATCTTTCTTGTAGAACTGTGCTCCAAATAAAGAACCTTGTGTTGACAAGATTGTTAGTTAATCATTTCTAAATCAATATTGTCTGTATGGACAGCAATATTCCCCCCAAAAAAGTGCACATGTAAAACTGCAGTGTTAAGTGATGCAGTTGAAAAATGTGGGTGCGCCTAACTTTTAGGTGTATCAGTGCAAACGTGGCAAAAAGATCTAGAGCCCTGACATGTGGTTTTGTTTTTGTTTTTTTTGTTTCTCCAGGAAAGGTCAGATGATCCTTATTTTTCCAAACTTCTTCAACAAATCAAGAGAGAAGAGGATGATGAAGATGCTGAAGAAGAGGATGAAGACGGAAGGGAGCCTCTTTTCCAGAGCGGTGTAGAGAGGAAAGGGCGCTCTGGAGACCCTGAAGATGATGTGGATTACAGGGACTCCAAGAGCGACCTTTTGAATCTCAGCCTTAGAACACCGGTTGGAGACAGTGACCAGTCTCACTGTAGCTCTCCACAGGCCGGCCCCAGCAGTGAGGGCGGGAGCGAGACCCAGGAAAAAGGCCCGCGTCCAAAGGCTCGGCGTAAGCGGCGTTTACCTAACAGAGAGCTGAGTCGGGAACTGAGCAAAGCACTTACCCAGGAAATCCAGAAGACCGAGGACTGCATGGCCAATGAGAACCGGCAACCACTGAAGCCTGAACCAGAGACGGAAAACGAGGAACCCAAGAAGCTGTTCTGCAACGGCAATGAGCTCGGGGATCAGAGGGCCCACCTCAAGACCAAAGAGATGAATGGGAACTCCTGGGAGCTGCGACACTTCTACCCAAGTCAGATCACTCCGCTGGGCTTCAACAGGAGCACTCCGACAACCCGGCCAGTTCCTCCGCGCTCTCCACCCAAGTGTGTCCAAATGGAGCGGCACGTTATTCGGCCCCCTCCCATAAGCCCGCCTCCCGACAGACTGCCTCTAAAAGATGGAAAAGCACACATTATCCAGCGAGAGCTCTGGATGAAGATATTCCGCTATCTCACACACCAGGAGCTGTGTGTGTGCATGAGAGTGTGCAAGACGTGGAACAGATGGTAAATGCACAGCACTATCTCAACAGTGATTTAAAATATATTTCTGATGTTTACAGTTAGTGCAGAAGAGAAAAAAACCCTCTGAAATGTGGAGGAGCAGTTACAGTTTGGTTTAGAGTGTTCTGCCTTGACACAAAGACCTGACATTCAACACAAATCTTTATTTCTGCTAGGTGTTGTGACAAGAGACTCTGGACAAAGATAGATCTGAACCGCTGCACCTCAATCACCCCACTCATGCTAAGTGGGATTATCCGCCGACAGCCAGTCTCCCTGGACCTCAGCTGGACCAACATTTCCAAGAAACAATTAAGCTGGCTTATTAACAGACTGCCAGGTACTTAACTATAAGGGATTTTTGATCTAAGGTTACAGAACCCCCACCCCCCAAATCAGTGTTTTAAAGTGCCACTATATGTTTTAGGTCTGCGAGTGTTAAGGCTGTCAGGTTGCTCCTGGGCTGCTGTGTCTGCACTCTGCACCTCCAGCTGCCCTCTGCTGCGCACTCTCGATGTGCAGTGGGTGGAGGGACTCAAAGATGCACAGATGAGGGACCTCCTCTCCCCTCCCACAGATAACAGACCAGGTAAAGCACAACTACTATCATAAATGTGCCCTTTTCTCCTGCCAGCCATGCTGTTATGCATAAATGACACTCAAAGTTAAGTTTTAACAGCTGCAACATAAACACAGTTACTAATCATTTCACATTAACTTGCGTAAGTGTTAATGTTAAAACTCTTAGGTACTCAGTTACACATTCCTAACTATTTTATAGAGCAACTCTTGGAGTGGGAAGCTTTTCAGTAGCTGAAAAAGTTATTGCTCTCATTCCAAAGCCCAAAATAGATTTTTCCAGGAGGCGCTGCTTTAGATTTACGTTTTCAAACTGAAACACAAGCGTGAACTTGAATGTCAGAGACTTTTATAATCTTGAGGTGTTGATCAAATTTAAAATTGTTCTGTGTTACTTTTTATTTGACCAACTAAATAACAGGCCAGCTGGATAACCGCTGCAAGTTGCGGAACGTGGAGGAACTGAGGTTAGCGGGGCTGGACATCACCGACACGTCTTTACGCCTCATAAGTCGACAGATGCCTTTGCTCTCCAGGCTGGACCTTAGCTACTGCAACCATATCAATGACCAGTCAGTCAACCTGCTGACAGCAGCAGGGACCACAACCAGAGATTCCCTCACAGAAATCAACCTCTCAGGTGAGATGTTGAATCAGAGCGTGGAGTCATGGGAATATACAGGCATCAGGCTTTTTCATGTTTGTTTTTTTTCCAGCAGGCTTGCATACAAGTTCAGCTGGGCGGCTGAATTCAAATAAATGGCACACTTCCTGTCCTTTAAATAACCTGATGGTCAGTCTAAACTCATACTTCCATATAATAGCACAGAAAGCACCTCTGTTAGGACAAAATAGAACTTGTCATAAGACATACAATGGTTGATATTTTTATTGAGACTGGGTGTGTCTGTTTCCAGTGTCTCAAGTGTTTGTATTGTTTGTGTTGGTGTCTCTTTTGGGTGCCAAAATAAAAACAAACAAACATTGAAACTAATAAAACAAAACTGAAACAAGTAAACCAACTCTGTAAAATAAACTGCAGTCAAAATAAGTGTTTAAAATTATATAGAAGTTTTCAAAAGTAATGGAAAATACAAGACAATAACAACTCTTGTGTTAACCACAGAGGAAGAAGGCGAAATAGGGGGTTTTGCTAAAGCATCGATATTAGCCACTAAATTATTTAAATGCTGTGGGTTGTGCTTGATTGTTCCAGGAAATTATATACTTGGACTTGAGATGAATAAATAGATTAGTATACTTAGCATTGGTTAGTTTACTTCCTTTAATATGCTGCTTTTAGCATTTCAGCTACTGTGCACTTAGCTTGTGTTTTTTTTTGGTTTGAATTAGCAACGGTACTCAGAATTACAATCTTCTTTACTGTCATTGTGTAAAATGTAAAAAACAAGACAAAATGCAATGCTTTGCAAATATTGTAAACGCATATTTTATTCATAACAGAACATAGATGACATCTCAAATGTTTAAAATAAGAAAATGTTACAATTGTAAGAAAAATATTAGCTTGTTTTGAATCGGATGGCAACAAAATGTCTCAGAAAACTAGGACATGTACTTGGCATTGTTGTGGTGGGAGCATATGGTGTTCTAAAAGCTGTATATAGCTTTCAGCATTGATTGTGCCTTTCCAGATGTGCAAGCTGCCAGTTCCATAGGCACTAAAGTCCGCCCATACCGCCCATACGTCACAGATGGTAGTAAGCTGGATGACAAGCCCTCTCCTCTTTAGTCCAGAAAATCAGGTGTCCATGGTTTTTAAAAATAATTTGACATTTTGATTTTTCTGACCACATAACAGTTTTGCTCTCAATGACAGAATCATGCCTGTTTTTAGTGCTGCACCACCTGAGGGCCAGGAGATAACAGGCATCCGATATTAATTGTTGATCTTGTCTGCTGTGAGGAGATTTCTCCAGAATTGTGAGGGCAGTGTTTTGTAAAGCCTGTCTTCACTTCTAAAGAACTCTTAAGTGTCTCTTTAAGATGCACTTTTAATAACCAGACATTACTGGCCTGTTGCCAATTAACCTAATTAGTTTAAAAATATTCCCTCAGCTGCTTCTTCTTAGTACCACTTACTGTTTTGGCCTTTTGTTGCCTCCATCCCAATGTTTGAGTTTTTGTGAGACATGCTGCTGCCATCAAATTAAAAATGAGGTAATATTTTTCTTAAAATTGCACATTTTCTCAGTTTTTTGTGTACTGTTTTGAAAAAAGGAAATGCGCGAGATCTGCAGATCATTGCTTTCTGCTTTTATTTACATTTTAGTCCCAGCCTTATCAAAGTCCCCGGTTTACATTTATAGCAATAAAGCCCAGTTTTTGAATGCCAGATGTGATTAGTCTGGAGACGTATACATTTTTAAATTAGCAGGACTGACAGTTTTCTGTTCTTCTAACCCTTTTTCCTTGCCTCATTTTTTCAGTGTGTAACAGAGTAACGGACCATTCCTTAAATTTCTTCAAGCGCTGCGGAAGCATCTGTCAGATAGACCTTCGCTTCTGCAAGCAGGTGACCAAGGCAGCCTGTGAAAGGTTCATCGCAGAGATGTCTGTGAGTGTACCGTTTAAATTGAAAGAGGACAAATTGCTGCAGAAGATAAGCTAGTTCCCAACAGGGCAAACAATAAAAGGACTTCAAAGATGGTCTTTGCACTTAATGGAACAACTGGTCCTGTGATAAGTCTCTGAATCACTGTCAGTAAACTGAAGTGAAAGATTGAGGTTGACTGGATGGAAGCCTTGGAGTCTAATGTCAGGAGGTGACAAACATTCACTGGACGGGTTAAGAAGAGATGGCATGCATGTGTTTCTTTTGAGACTGTACTTTTATAAAGACCTGCTTGTAATTGACTCCTGGGTTATTTTTATTCCTTAAATATTTGAAAAACAGTATTTTTATAGCAGCAACATTTCATGAGTTTACAGTGTCTCAGGAACTATTATCACAGAGAGACTGTACCGTGAACTGAAAATGATCTCCTTCAGTTTGCCCTCTTGTAACAGTCTGCGTGCCAAAATGTACATTTGAATTTAACATCACTTCAGTATCAGAGAAATAAAATAGCATGTACAATATATCTGATCATAAAAATATTTAGAATGTCTTTTTGATGAAGATAAAAAAAAAAAAAAAAGATAAACAAATTTCATATTCTGTTACACCCTCATGCCTTCAGTTACATTACTACTTTAAACTGTGGAGTGTTTTTGCTTTATGGGGTTTTCAACAATATTTCAATATTAATTTATTGATTGTTTTTTTTATTACTGTTTGTATTTATTCAGTAAGTTGACATAGGTGTGTCACATAGCTGGGTCAAATAATTAGTACAAGTAATTTATCAGGGTGATTTAAGCCTGTTGCAGCTCCCAGCGGGTGAAGTTCAACACCCAAAAGTTAGTAACAGGAAGCTGACTGTCCCAGCAACTGTGAAACTGACTTTGTGATAATACAGTAATCCCCCACACATCTGTTTTCACCTGGTTCTGGTTTATATAATCTGCTAACGCTGACCTTTGCAAATAACTCATTTGCATAGTTTTGAACCTATACTCCCTACAGTAGGTGTTGTATTTTGGTTGTTGTGCTGTAATTGATCACCTCAGGTGAATGTGATGTTTATATTTGTAAATCCAAAAATGATGTGCTAATATGCATTAAAAGAATTTCATTTGTACCATTAAAGCGAGGCTTTGCTCTTTTCTCTTTTTTCCATATTCTCACAGGGCTAATAGATTTTACCTAATTTGTACATTTGGCACAAGCCTGTAGTTTGTACTGTTGCCTCACAGCAAGGTGGTCCTGGGTTTGAATCCACCATCTGTTTGTGGTCTTTCTCCAGCTTTCTTCCACAGTCCAAAGACATGCAGTTAGGTTCATTGGTGCTTCTAAATGACCCATAAGTGTGAATGAATGCCTGCCTCACTGTTAGTCGTGTGAAAGACTGGCAACCTGTCCAGTGTGTACCCCACGTCTCACCCTATGACATCTGGCATAGGATCCAGCCCCCTCATGACAGATGGGTGGATGACTTGCAAAAAAGTCATGTTTGCCAAATATCAGAGAAATACAATAAGAGGGTTTAAAATAATTTTCTTTTTACCACTTTTTGAAGTAGTGAAATCAGATCAAGTTAACTTTTGTTTGTGTTTAAGTTGTAAGAAATTATTGGATTGATTTTTGTTTATATTTTTTCACAAATTTAACGCCATACAATTTTAGAGAATGAAGTAAGAAGTGTGTTCTAAAACAAACCTCTCATCACCACCCAGGCCTTGTCTTGAACAATTTTGTGTTTGGAACTTAAAAGGCTGTGACATGATCACTTCCTCAGTAATCATTAGCCAGGACAGTAAAAGACACATGCAGATTTCAATTGAAATTTTAATTACCAAAATAAAAAGTTCAACATTCCCAAATACAAAGACCAAACCTAGCACACAATTAAACCCTCTGTAAAAGGAAAAAAGTGCAACCTGATCCGCTACTGTGCATGACTGTAGCGGACATCTTTACTGTAATAGCAGCAATTTTGACTTTGTGGGTTACAGTACAGAGCGAAAAGCTTGTGAAAGAGCAGGGTTTTGTGGGAAAATAAAAGCAGAGAATTTGTTTCAGGGGTAGGGGCAATCTAAGGAGTAGGATATGACCTATCTGGTGTAATAAAGCAGTGTCATGCTCTGGTTCAAGCAAATTAATGCAGATTAAACACATTTTAAATCACCTGACAGGAAAAATGTAAACCTCTAAATATAAACTGAACCCAATCCCTGGGCCACTTCAAATAATTAAAAAAAAAAATAGATATATACATATCTCATATGGATCCATATATGCAAATATACATCAGCAAGTCATTAACTTCTATTTACTTCCTATATCACAGGTGTCAGTAAACTCATAGCTATATCTTTGAATAGTTAGTTCAATACATTACTCCTACATGAGAAAATTCAACTCGTTAAGACACTTCATTCCATTCTCAACAATACACGACAAATAAAAACAAAACAAAAAAAACAGTTCAGCGGGAGGTGGTTGGGGAAGGTGGTGGGATGAGTTAGCACCGGTTTTCGTACTTTGTCTCCACTAAAGAGACAAATCAAGAGGTGACAGCGGAGGTTAGCTATTGCTGTAACGACAGACGTTGTGTGATCATTTAAAATGTGTAATGCATACAAGTAGTTATGTAACAAAATAAGTGAACAGAACAATTATATGTCAACTCCATCTGAAAAATCACAGCGGCTTTGAATTCAAGCAGCTCAAAGATAAGCACGCATTAACTCAGCTACTATTAGGTCGCTTGCGAGTAGTGGATCAACACACAGTTGTGAAGAAAAGTGCTTTCTGGTCAAACATGCTGAGGAATCAACAATCCAACACTAACCCTCACAGCTGAAGGAAGGGGAGAGAAAGGAAAAAAAAAAAAAGGTGAGAAGCATAAGGGCATGACGCATTATTTGGCACCTAGTTCACACTCTCCTTGAGCTTCAGCATGTGCCCTCGCCCTCATGAAGATATGTAGTCACTTGCAGCAGTTGTTAAGTGAGGTGCTCTCAGGAATGCCCAGCAGAGTAGAGAACCAGCTACAGTTTACAGGCAGATCTGAGGGTGAAGCGTTGTTTAACAAGACTGCACGCGGCTCGTGCCGCACATTCTTTGCTTTGAAAAACTGTAAGAAATACATTTAAGACATTTGAGAATAAACACAGATATGGAAGATATGTTAACTTGAGGAATGACTTGCTGGAGGGTACGTTCCTACGCTCTGCCCACTCGTGAAAGCGAATAGTCAAAATTCTTCAGAAAGACATTTCTTAGATTTCACTGTGCAAATAAAGTGAGACCTCAGGGAATACAAACATCCACAGACTGAGTCTTTTGGGGATTTGAAGGTTACGAGCTGCATTGTTGAGGTTAAGGTACAGTCTCAGTCTGAAGCAGGTGCAGTGGTGCTGCAGAGGTGCATTAGGATTTGAAGACGTGCACAGCCCTCACGACGTACTGCCTGCAGATCGGGCATTCGTTCATCCTCTTGCCGCACTTGGTGCAAGTGACCATGTGTCCACACTCCAGGAGGACGCAGTCGATCGTAGCGTCCATGCAGATCCTGCAGAGGTTGTCGTCGTGAATCGTCAGTGGACAGTTCTCCCCATCTGCGAGAAAAGAGAGTGATATATCCACACAATGAGTAAAGGGTAAGAGAGCACTGGAATACTCAAAGCTTCACAAAGCACCCTTGTCTGATCGAGGTAGGTCATGCCCACAATCGCCTGCAAAATAACAACCCCTGCGGTTTCTAAGTGTCAAGATGTTACTATGTCAACCACACAATTTTGATCTCTAGAAGCAAGCTCAGAGTGAACACACAGGGCTGACATACTCCAGTTTTCAATATAATTACTTCACATATTCAACACACACACACACACACACACACACGAATAGATGAAGGAGATTGATCCACCATGAAAATCAATCTTCAATTTTCTTAAGTGGGATAAATGAACATTCAACTTTCATCCTCAATGCAACATCAATATCCCCTCACAGGAAGAACCACGTATGGAAATGTTTCAAAGAAATGGGTCGAATGGAAAATGAGAACAGGTTCACAACGAACACTGGTGCGGTGCAGATGGGTTCATAGATGGAACATGTGACCACAAGGTATAAGCCTTACCTCCAATGGCACCATTGCAGATGGGAGGGGGGAAGGTCATCACTTTATGAGGGAGGAGTAAAGCAAGCGCGAGACATATCAACAGGAGTCTAAACGAAAAACTCGTTCAAATGACCCTACCTGTGTGAGTTATCAATAGCACTCGCAGTAAATAATATTGTCAGAGGAAGCAGAGATATTTAGTTTCAGTGGTTAAAAACAGGATGTAGTTCCAACAATGACATCTAGGACACTGCACACAGAAGTTGGGTGAAAACTTACCTGTGGTTACAGTGCTGCTCACATTTTCCACTGCAAGAGAAATAAATGAAATGTACTGACACACTTCATTCGACCACACAACATGATGCAGTTGAAAAGGCTTGTAAACTCTTTGAAGTTAGCTGGATTTCTATGTTTAACTTGCTGATAAAATGCGGTCTGATATTAATTATAAACACAGCTCTACTTCTACTGTCTTTATTATCTTTATTACTGGCTCACAGTACAGGCTGGAGAAGGTTAACTCTACAGTTTATTAAATGGTACAGTCTGTTTTTGTAAGCAACCACAGCTTTTTTAAACATTTCCTATAGCTGCCCGAGACTTGCACAACTGTCAGGAGGAATTTAGATTCAAGCCGCCTACATAATGGTTTCAGTTCATCAGTAATTCTAAAATATCTTGATTCTTCTTTAGGTCATCTCAGTTAAATTAAGGTCAGGACTTCTGATTTTCTCCTATTCACAGCAATGGCTGTAAAAAAAAAAAGACTTCTGGTCCTCTAGATGTCTGTAGGACAGGGCCTCAGTGACTTATTTTGGATTATACCGAATAAGAAATTAGCTTATTGTAAATCTTGTAAATCTTGGTTATACTACATTCCAAAAAACAGGATTATGGATGTCGTGCTGCTGGCTTGTGATTGACAAGTTGTTAGCTAATAAGTAAGCACTTTCACTGTTAGCCTAGCCACCCTCATCAAATCAGTTTGTATTTATTTCTTTTTCAAATGAAAAAAAGAAAAAAAAAAAAAAGATGGCAAGGATGAAAATACAAATCTCAAGACTTCAAAACACAACATCAGAAACAAACAGATGACATCACGGTAGCTACGCCCACCTTTTACACTGTGCACTGACCGCGCTTCACAGATAGGTGTGAAGGACTTTTCTTCACTCCAAACATACCGCTGTGTTCACTTAAACTTTTGTTGGCTGAACATATCCTACAATAATGTCCTACAACTTTTAGGATATCCAGAAGATCTGTAGTAGTTTACGTTAATCGTATCCTATTGTTCAGTGATTTTTCTCAAAATTTACACATGACCAAAGATTTCAGCCTTCTGAGAGACTGAGCAGGCTGCTTAATGCTTCACACCACACCAGTCGCTTTTTGTTCTTAAGAACAGCAGACTTAATAAAGACATGCAAGGACTGGTTACTAACCTGAAAGGTAACCTCTATCCTGTATTACCTGAACACTGGACTTTTTAGAGAAGTAATTAGCACAGAGGTTAATAAACTCTTCCAGCCTGGACTGTGAGTATCTATTCAGAGTCTTTAATAAAGATGCGACAAAATGAGTGTTTGTGTTTTATTAGTTTAGTCACATTTGTCTGTGATTGTTATTTAGATGAAGATAAGACCACGTTTATGTGCAAAAGATCTTAACTATTACAAACATTTCATATACTATAGATGATTTCTATAGGAAATAAAAAAACAGGACTGCTTTAGAGCTGACAGCCCCCCCTCCCCCCACAGGATTTAAACACAGTAAGAAAGTTAATACCCACATGATTTCCTGTTCTCTTCAGTCTCCCTGTAAAGTCTGCTGACACGCTCCACCAGCTCCCACTTCTCACAGCACCCTGAATAGTTGACAAAATTCCTGGCCAGTATCTCTTTCAGCTGCCTGACAGACAGGCCCTCAATATCCCGTAAACTGGAGATGTCTGAGAGGGATGCTCTGGCCCAACGTCGAGTCTGAGGACTAACCTACAGGACAGGAAACA